TATCAATAGCATTGGGTGTCAGAGTCCAGCTCATAGGGAAGGAACAGGGCTGTGAGCACATGACTCAAGCCCTCATTCCGGCTCTGGAGTTTCCTTCCCCACCCTCTGCAGTGGAGGCAGAGGTGTGAGAACCCAGCTCTGTTTCTTGGCCTAAGGATATCAGTAAGATGACCAGGCTGGGGGCTAGGATGGGGAAGAGAAGGGCCATGCCTCATGTACTCTTGTGTTTCTTTCAGGAATACAAGAGAGACTTTCCCCCTTGATCTCAAGCCAGAGGAAATCGTTAGGCCACAGCATGGTTCATGTTCTTGTGTACAACGCCACTCTGGGTCTGCTTTGCACAGTGTCTCTTTTTTCTGTCTCCCAAGGAGTGAGATTCTGCCAGACTGGAGTGTTTTAAAGGAGTGCATTAGACCAGGCATGGTGGCTCATGCCTGCAAATCCAGTAGTTTTGGAGGCTATGGCAGGAGGATCATATGAAGCCAGGGCTTCAAGACCAGCCTGAGCAATATAGTGGAACCCAGTCTCTACAGAAAGTTAAAAAAAAAAAAATTAGTCAGGTGTGGTGGTGTGTGCCTGTAGTCCCAGCTACTTGGGAGGCTGAGTGGGGAGCATTGCTTGGGCCTAGAAGTTTGAGTTGACAGTGAGCTATGATTGCGCCAGCCACTCCAGCCTGGGTGACAGAGCAAGATCCTGTGTCTAAATATATCCCTATTGACTCCCAGTTCCTAAGAAGAGGGGGCACACCACGCTGGTGGGAAGTGGGAGGGGGGGCACATGGGGAAGTGCCAGGGTGGGTCAGGAGGCAGATGGAGAGGGAGAAGCTGTACAAAGAGCCCTTATTGTGGTTTTTGTGGAAGGAATGGGCAACAGAGGGTAAGCAGGTTTTGGATAATTTTAGGCTAGTTTGAAGAATTTCAGTGGGCTCTGGGACATAGGGGCTGTCCTTAGTTGTCTGGTACCTGGCCGTGGGGTGATTAAGGCAGAGGGTAGTGGCCTGATGTGTAAGAGCTGGTAGAAGGGGTGGTAGTGGCCTTGGCTCTGGATTGGTTGGTTTGCATTTAAAAAGCAGCTCTTGGGAGGATTGCTCACTATCTCTAGGAAGTGGCTAATCCTGGGAGCGGAGGGGCAGTCTCTCCAAAGTCAGCAAGACCCCAGATGTCAAAGCATCAGAATACAGAAAATATGTGGTTAATACATGGGGACATCATCACCTAAGACCAGGCCAGGTTCCTTGAGGCCACCTGTCTTCTCGTTCTTTTCTTTTCTTTCTTTCTTTCTTTTTTCTTTTTTTTTTATTTTTGAGGTGGAGTCTTGCTCTGTCACCAGGATGGAGTGTAGTGACCCTATCTTGGAACACTGCAACCTGTGCCTCCCAGGTCCAAGTGATTATCCTGCCTCAGCCTCCCAAGTAGCTGGGATTACAGGCACATGCCACCACACCCGGCTAATTTTTGTGTTTTTAGTAGATACTGAGTTTCATCATGTTGGTCACACTGGTCTCGAGCTCCTGACCTTGTGATCTGCCAGCCTCAGCCTCCCAAAGTGCTGGGATTACAGATGTGAGCTACTGCACTTGGCCTTGGCCTCTAATTTTTGATCTGCCCCTGTGCATCTGTGTTCCCATAGGAAGGTCACCTGACACCTTCTCTGAGTGGCAGCTTTCAGAAGAGCAAAGGAGGGACTGGAGCAGATAAACTCTAAGAACACTTCCAGCATGACATGTCCTCTTCTCTTTTTGAGGGAAAAGAGTTTTATTGAGATATAATTCACAAACTATAAAATCCACCCATTTTAAGTGTACAATTCACTGTTTTTACCATATTCATAGTGTATACAACCAGTAGTATAATTTTAGAATATATTCATCACCCTAAAAAGAAACCTCATACCTATTAGCAGTCACACCCCATCCCCTCCCCACAATACTCTCTCCAGCCCCAGGCAACCATGAATCTACCTTTTGTCTCTATTGATTTGCCTATGTGAAACATTTCATGTAGGTGGGGTCATACTATATGTGAACTTTTGTGACTGGCTTCTTTCACTCAGCATAATGTGTTCAGGATTCAGCCATGTCCTAGCATGTATCAGTAATTCATTTCTTTTCATAGCTCAGTAATTCATTCCTTTTTATCGCAGAATAATACTCTATTGTATTGCACAATAATTTATCCACCCATTCACCAGTTGATAGATATTTGGGTTGTTTCCCCTTATAGGTCATTATCAATAATGTTACTAGGAATGTAATTCATGTATAAGTTTTTGTGTGAATGTGTGTTTCCATTTCTCTTGGAAATGAACCTAAGGATGAAATTGTTGCCTCCTATTGTAACTCTGTGCTAAACATTCTGAGAAATCGCCAAATTGTTTCCAACATTAGCACTGTTTTACATTCTCACCAACAACTTTTGAGGGTTCCAGTTTCTCCACATCCTCACTGTTAGACTATTTGTGTTTCCTCCAAAATTCATGTTGAAACTTAATTCCCAATGCAACAATATTAGAAGGTGGAGACCTCTGGAGACGATTAGGTCATGAGGGCTCCACCCTCAAGTTGGATTAGTGCCTTATAAAAAAGGCGTTCACCCACCCCTTTTCCCTTCTGCTTTTGGCTATGTGAGAATGCTGCTGGGAGAAGATGTATCGACGGCTCTCACCGGGCACCAAATCTGGTGGAGTCTTGATCTTGGGCTCCAGAACTGTGTGAAATAAGTTTCTGTTCTTTACATATTATCCGGTCTTGGATATTTTATTATAGCAGCATAAAAGCATAAATGGAGTATGATACTCACCAATATTTCTTGTTATCTTTTGAATCACAGCCTTCCTAGTGAGTGTGAAGTTGTTCCTCGCATTGTGGTTTTGATTTGTCTTTCTCTGATGGCTAATGATGTTGAGAATCTTTTCATATGCTTATGGGTCAGTTGTTTAACTTCTTTGGAGAAATGTCTATTCAACATTTTTGCCCATTATTTTAATTGTGTTATTTATCTTATTGTGTTGTAAGAATTTCTTGTATATTCTGAATATAAGTCCCTTATTGGATACATATTATAATCTGCAAAACTTTTCTCCCATTCTGTGGGTTGTCTTTTTACTTTTGATGGTATTATTTGAAGCATACATATTTTTAAGTTTGATAAAGTCTGGTCTTTTTTTTTTCTTTTTTAATGCTTTTGCTAAGAAAAGGTTTCAAAAGAGCTCCATATTTTAGTTTGGTTTTGAAAAAAATGAATATGTGTGCAAAATAAAAGAAATAACAACAGAACAGAAAGAAAAGAGCCTCTTTGGCTGGGCATGGTGGCTCATACCTGTAATCCCAGCACTTTGGGAGTCGAGACAGGCAGATCACTTGAGGTCAGGAGTTTGAGACCAGCCTGGTCAACATGGTGAAACCCCTTCTCTACCGAAAATACAAAAATTAGCCAGGCGTTGTGGCAGGTACCTGTAATCCTAGCTACTTGGGGGACTGAGGGAGGAGAATTACTTGAATCCAGGAGGGGGAGATTGCAGTGAGCCGAGATGGTTCCACTGCACTCCAGCCTGGCGACAGAACAAGACTCCAAAAAAAAAAAATAAATAAAAGCCTCTTTCCAACCCCTGACTTCTAGTCCATCACTCTCCTCTCAACACACATTTGTATCTAATTTTTAAACATGCACATGCACACATACAGATGAAGCATCCTGTGTTTATGGCTCAAACTGTTCTTTCTCTTTTTATTTACCTAATAATGTATCTTTGAAATATTTAGTTCTATATTCATACCTTTACACTTACAGTTCTAGAAAACGGCAGTATTGTGTTCAGTTGAATGTGGGTAGCAACGTTTATTTAACCACTCCATTATGATGGACATTTTGGTTGTTTTTTTTTCTTTTGCTGCTGATACTAATGCTGAACCAAATAGACTTTTAGATTGGTTTTCACACTAATGTGCCAAGAATTGGATGAATTTCTATAGCTGAATTTGTGGAGTCAAGGAGAGAGAGAGTACCCATTTAGACTCTATATGCATCAATAGTTTGTTATTGAATTTTTGATCTTTGCTAGGATGAAAGATTAAAAGCTTGTATTTTATTTATTTACTTTATTATGAGTTGAATATCTTTTCATATTTCTCCTATGAATGCTTTTTCCATGTTCTCCCCCTTCCTCTTTTTCTATAAAATTTTGCTTTTCTTATTAATTTGTTCGTTATGTATGAAGATTATATATTTAAGGGATTAGAGATTAGTTCTTCATCTTGCAACTATTTTTTCATTTTCTTTTAAATAACCATATTAATTATATATGTGCACATGATTTTATTATTTTTCTCTGCTAAATTTTATTTTTGATGTAATCATTTAAAAAAATTTTTTTCCTTACTGAGTCTAGGCTTTGTGTCTTAACTTAGAAAGGCCTACCTACTCTAAGTTGCTACAGGAGTCCACATGATTTTCTAGTATTCTTTATGATAATTGAATTTTAGTCATCAACATTTCTCACATCTCTGGGATATACTTTAAAATCAGGAGGCCACAGAAGGCACTACATTTCACAATCCACTCCACATCAAATAGTTATTGCAATAAGATATTCCAGTATTATTATTATTTTTTTTTTTTACATAAATTTCACTTTATTTAAAACATATGAAAGAGGTAATTTCAAATTACACTAAACATAATAAATATAGAACTCGCTTTGTTAAAAATCTACAGTATACATTCAAGTAAAGGCTAAACTTCCAATGCCAATTATATTTGAGACAAAATTAAACATTTACAATAATCAGTCTCCTAAAAGTGCTATTTTTAATACCTATAAGAGGAAACTCATTCTAGTGCTTTTGTTTCCATCCAAACATCTATACATTCCTTTATTCACAGAACCTGATGCTTCTGTTACTAAAAATACATATCCAAAGCTTTTATATCCTTTTAAATAGATTTAACATTTCAACTCTTTGGGGGAAGACAGGGAAGTCCAAACAAACGACTTAGACCATCTTAAGTTACTAGAGATAACTGACTTTATGACACACCCTGTTTCAACTTAGATGTGAAATTTGATGAATATGTTAATGAAAAAAATCCCAGTCCACATGTCTAAGGTAAGTCATCTTTTTCTACATGAGAATTTGTGTAGGTCAAGGAGCATCTACTATAGCAACCTTCCTGTGATCCAGGTCTTGATGCCACACTCCATTTCTGATTTGTATATTCTCCTCCAACTTGATTTGGTTTAGTATCTTCAGGAGTTATATTCAGTACATTGATTGAACTATGTTCAGATATGCAGGAACGTGTCTGGCAAAAGTCTGAAGTGGAAGGTGAAGCAGGAAGAGATTTAGTAAGTTTAGACATGCAAACTGGAGACCCATTAGACGTACTGTGAGGCTTCTTTGGCGGTTGCCTCGAGTGCACTGTAAGACTGTCCCGATCAGAACTTCCTGAGAAGGCACTGAAAAGTTTCACATTTTCTGAGTTCTGGTGGTCAAAGGTAGTCATATTTAAAAACTGCTGCTTTAACCAACTGGCTCTTTCTTCTTCAAATGCCTTTCTCTCCAATCCCAGGCGAATAGCGGCTTCTGTAAAGCTTCGTCTTTCTCTCTCAAAATTCTTTTTCTGCTCTTTAAAAAGGGACCATTCTTCTTTGAGGCGTTCCTTTTCTTCCAACAAATAACAGTCTCGTAATAGTGAAGTGGTATCATCATCACATGCAGTAGCCAGCTGCTGCTGTAAAAGCTGTTGCTGAGTTTTAATCATTTCTTTACACTGCTGAATTTCTAACTCGAGTTTTTCAGTTTCTTGTTCATGGTCTTGTCGTGAGATCACATCTTCATCATTAAAACCTTCCAGGTGTACCTTTGAAACTTGGTTATCAAGTTTTTCTACATGACTCTTCAGAATTCTCCACTGTTTTCTGATGCTGTTGGTAAGCTGCTCTCTCACAGTTTCACAGGAAAGGTCCCACATACTCTCTCTGCTCAGTTCCCCGGCATCTTCTTCAACATCAGAGATAACAGTTCCTGTACTATCATCTACTCTTTCCCTGGGTTTCTTCTTTTGGGGAGAAAGAAGAGAAATCATTTCCGTTTTCATCTGCTGAAGAACCTTCTTAAGTTCAGCATTTTCCATTAGGATTTGTTTCTGACGATATTCATAATCATTCAAGAGAATTTTATACATTTCATCTTCATTCCTGGCTTCAGTTTTACCAGTCCTCCAGGAGCCTCTTTTTCCATCAGCTCTACCAACATAATTCAAAATGTCCATAGCTATTTTTTTTATCTTTCTTGTTCATAACAAGTTGATGTAGACGTTCCTTCAGTTTATTATATTCACGCTCCTTTCTCTTCATATCATGATTATACTGAGTAGCTCGACTTGCAATGACATTCTGTAATTTTTGTACCTCATCTTTCTCATTCTTTAGTAGCTGATGCAAATTCCTGTTCTTACACTGTGACTGTCTGTCTCTCTCCTGAAGCCCAATCATTTCCCTCCTGGAGGTTTCCAGTTGTTCCTTAAGTTTTGAGTAGCAGCTCTGTAGATGGTCCATATCACTTCCCAGCTTCAAATTCTGCGTCTCCACATTTTCCTGAGCTAGAAGGTTCTTCCGCTGAAGCACAAGCAGCTCATTCATACAATTTAAAACAGCTACTATATTTAATTCTCTCTTTGTCTCTTTACCTTTGGATTCTTCATATAATGAAGGAAAACCAAAAGTAGTCAATTCCTGATCAAGATATGAAATACTCTGTTCAATATTATCTTCTGTGCAGAAGGCACTGAAAAAACTGTGCACATTTTTTGATAAAGGTATTGAAGAACATAGCACTTGCTGTGAGTATAAACTTGATGGAGACATCTTTGTTTCTGAGGTATGTTGAGAGATAGTTTTGCTTTCTGAAGACAGACCTGGATCTGTAACAGTCATCCAATCTCCCATAGCAATCTCTAGAGCCAGGATACCTGAGGAACTAGTTCAGCAGTGAAACATTTAGTCCAGCTGCTGTCACTCTTCTATGTAGGCATCTCCGTCACGGCCCCCGGGAGCGGCGGGGAGTCACCGCTCGGCGTCCTAGCCCGGCTCCCGCAGCCCCGAGGGCCAGCAGCGCCTCGCAGCGCCTCCCGCCGGCGGCTCCAGTATTATTTTTAAAAATGTTCTTATTGTATCTTAAATTTCCTTATCCACTTTGGTCCATTTCTGGATACTCTCTTTTTTTTTTTTTTCCATCGCCCTGTCTGTCTTTCCTTAGAGAAAGCAGCATGCTATTTTAATCATTATAGCTTTACAATAAATTTTAAAATCTGGCACAGCCAGTTTCCTTAATTATTATTCTTTTTTAGAATTGTCATGATCATTCTTATGTATTTATTTATCTACCTAAGAGCAAAATTTGTATACATTGCAAATTTTAAATTACCTTTATGTACATATATTTTTTGTTCCAGTTACAAATAGATTTTTTATCATATTTTGTTAATTGGCTGAAGCCATTTGATTTATGTATATTAATTTTTTATGTTAATTTACTTTAAAATGATTTCTAATCTTTTTAAATTTCTTTTTTGGATATTCTAGTCAGACATTTGTATCATCTACCAGTAATGGTTACTTGCTTCTTCTTTTTCAGTTGTTTATGTATCTAAGTTCTTACTCTTATCTAATTTGTTTTGGCTAATGCCTATAGAGCAATGTTAGTTAATAGTAGTTACAGGCCAGGTGCAGTGGCTCACACCTGTAATCCCAGGACTTTGGGAGACCGAGCTGGGAGAGCTTGAAGTCAGGAGATTGAGACCAGTCTGGGCAATATAGTGACACTGTCCCTACAAAAAAATAAGAAAATTAGCTGAGCATGGTGGCAGGTGCCTGTGGTCTCAGGTACTTGGGAGGCTGAGGCAGGAGGATCACTGGAGCCCAGAAGTTCAAGGCTGCAGTGAGCCACTGTAGACCAGCCTGGTAAACAGAGTGAGACACTATCTCTAAAAAAAATGGTACTGATAATTTTCATTTGTCCCTGCTTTACAAGGATTGTTTTTTGTTTTACCCGATTATGTGTAATATTTCTTTCTGGCTCAAGATAAAACTATTCTCTATTATACTAGACTACATTATGCTACACTAGGCTATCCCTGACATTTATGGGAGCTGGGAAAGAAGTGCAACTGGAGGCCAGCAAAGAAAATTTGTAAATATATTAAAGTTGTTAATCAAGCTAAAACACTGTTAAGTGATGACTGTTTATCATGAAAAATATCCTCTATCAAGCTCTGAAACCCAGATTCAAGTGTAAATTTCAGCACTTTTGAGGTCCTGTGCTGGAACATAGCAGTGTGAAGAATTCAGGCCATTTTAGCCTGCTTTCTTTCTCATATCATGCCTAGCTCTGACCCAAATTCAGGGGTCTAATGCTCAGCTCATGTGCTAGGATGCCACAGCCAAACTTTTAAGTTCTGTTTTCACCCACTTGTAAACAGCTACTCTTTGGTCATTGCCAGCACCAGGGGTGTGCACATTTGGGGAGTGTATTGTCTTCCCACTGGAGGATGAACCTAGGGAATAGAATGTGCTGCCCCAGAATTTGGCTTTAGGGATATTTGTGCAGAGAATTCTGTGGTCCTGTGTACCCTGAGGGTGGTCCAGCGTGGGGGTGGGCTCTAAAGCATGGGGCTCAGAGCCCAGGATATGAGCACACAGCAGATATTAATCACTTTGAGGAAGTGATCTAACCCTCCTATTCTTATTAGGAGACTTCATCATTAATGGTTCCCAAATGTTTTCAAATGTGTGCTCAGAATTGATGATATGACTGTACAATTTTTTCTTTTGTTCCATTAAAATGATTTATTATATTGATAGATTTCTTAATATTGAACCATCCTTGCATTACTGGCATAAATCTCATTTGGCTTTGGTGCATTTTTTATTAAGACTTTCTAAAGCCACGTTTCAAAGGAATTTAATTGAAATCTAACAAAGCTACCTCAAAATATAAAACAACAAAGGTATAATATATGTGAGACTGTTATTTCAGTCAATTAAGAAATATGCCATAGAGAATCTTGTTTCATCTTATGGTGTTTGCAACGAGAGAGGAAGCAAGCATTACGAGGTGAAGCCATTAAAGATTTTTATCTCTTGCTTACAAGGACTCTGGAATAAGCACCTTTTCCTTGTAAAAAGCCACTTGTGAAAATCAAGTAAGTAATTACTTTTGGATGAAGGGGATATGTATTACTTGCTAATAAGACATCTACTTGGCCACAGTTACATTTTGAAAAAGAGAGCAAACTGCCTCCAATCTTACCCTATATCAGGCATTCCCAAACTATGGCCCATGGGCCACATGTGGCCCCCTGAGGCCATTTATCTGGCCCCCCGCCGCACTTCAGGAAGGGGCACCTCTTTCATTGGTGGTCAGTGAGAGGAGCACAGTATGTGGCAGCCCTCCAACAGTCCGAGGGACAGTGAACTGGCCCCCTGTGTAAAAAGTTTGGGGACGCCTGCCTTATATTATATTCTCAGTCTTACTAGGAACCCCCCAAAATTCTAAAAATCAGTTCTGGTCTAGTAACTTGTGACTTACCAAAGAGTCTTGGTGGCTCCATTTATTCATAAGAAAAATATAATCAGCCTCAAGTCAGTCTAAAAATTTAATTACCACTTCATTTAACCTTTTCATTTACATGGTTATTGCTGTTCTTGTCTTCAGTGATGTTCCAAACTATCAGTTTATTCAACATCTTCTTATCTGTTTCTCCTATTGTTTTGGGAAGAATTAGGTTTCTGAGGATGATGAGAAGTTAGGATGAAGTCGATTTGCCCAGGAACACACTGTCTGGTACCTAGCTGATACCTAATAAATTTGCATTGAACAGAATCATTAAAAACTTTTTTTTTGTAAATATTTACTACAGTTTTCCTACTTTAAACACAATGCCCCATAGCAAATGAAAATGCTGTAAGCTTTATCTTTCTCAAGATAATCAAAGAAGCGTTTGCCTCTCCGTTGGAGTGAGGAATGGGTGTAAGCCTGGTTTTCGATTGCCTGGTTCAGAATTTCCTGGGTAGCTTTAAACACTTGGATTCCTAAGCCACACCCTAAGTGTATTACTACATAAGATTTCTGGGGCTGGGACAGGGGACAACTGTATTTTAAAGGGTTTCCCTAAGTAAGTCTTTCTGTACATCCAAGTTTCTGGCTGGAGGGTCTCAAATTTCATCTTCAGGCTTGGGGCACATATCAGTTACAGACTGGCTGTGGCAGCTCCCTGGTTCTAGAGGGAAACACCAGCCTAGCTTTTTAGCACTACTTTTGTCTGTTTTCTTCAAGCATTGAGGCACTGATGAAGGAAACACAAAATCTTATAGAGATACTAATGAACTTCCTTCCATTTTATAATGAATAATCGTAACACAGTAGATAGATTAATTGTTTACAATGAGTAGTTGTATCATAGTGTCTAGCTGAGTATAGGTTCTGCAGGTGACAGCCAAACAGGATCGGGCTCTTTGCCTAAATTCATCCTCACTCCTATGTTAACCTAGAAAACACACAGGAAATGGTGCCAGCGAAGGTCAGATACTGTTTGTCCCCTGGTAGCACGTTGTACTGACATTCTACTTTTCATGCTTGGAGGTTAGTTTTTATGTATCCAGGTTGTTGGATTTCCGGGAAATAATGAATCTGAAGCCATATGTAATTTATAAATACTAGAATATTAGAAGATAATTCTAAGATGGTAAAAGGTTTAAATCCTATAACGTGGACATAATTGAGTAATCAAAACTTTCAAAGTACTTGGTTCATTCTACATGCAGAGCCATCATTTCATCCTGTAATGAGAGAAATACTGCATGTATACTTCTTAGCTGCAACAGCTGCTTATATTTATTTTCTAATAGGATAATGTTTAAAAGGCAAACAGAGGAGCTTCCTTTAATTGTTACAATAAATTTATTTATCTTTACTATCAATTGGAAAAATAATTTACTCTAAATGATGTAATTTCTTAACATTTGTTATTAGGAGGAAGAAATAAACATGAAGTAAATGAATTTAGGCTGTGGAGACAAGTAGGTTTCTGTACAGAGATGACATGTTGCTGTTTTTGTAAATAACTTTGCTTTTTCAAGAAATCAATACATACTACTGAGGAATTTTTGGAAAGTATAGAAATGTATAAAGCACAAAATAAAAATTGTTCACTGAGTGTTCTATTTCAGTTGTCTAATATATTAACTTGTTTTCAAGGAAAAGAAAGTGGGAAAAAGTTAGCTTGCATTTTTAGGGTACCTGCTGGGCATTGTGTTATTCAGATTTACATATGTCATCTCATTTAATTCACCCAACAACCTTATGTGATAAGAATTATCATCCCCATTTTCTAGACTATGAAATTTGAAGCTCTGAGACATCAATTAACTTGCTTGGGTTGAACCAGCTGCTCAGTGCAGAGCTGGTTTGTCTACTTTAATGTCTAGGCTCCTTTTTCTAATCAGAGTGATTTGTCTTCAAGCCTATCAGCTTCACTTTGACACTAAAATAGATGTTCCTTTTCATACATATGAAAGTAGTTACTCAAAAATTGCACTTTGGTGTGTTAACTCTGAGGACTGAGTATGGTCTGAACAGGAGGATCCAGGATCTTTTCACTGACAGTGACTAGAAATATACTTCAAGATAGAACTCCTTAGTGGGAAGAGAAAGGCTTGGATCAACCAATCTCTAAGGAAAAGGATACAGAGTTATCTGACTTGACTCTGTTCTGTGCAGAACAGAATCAGTGCAGGGGTCAAATGCAGAGTTAGAGATACAGGCAAAACCTGCCATGTGTATGTGTGCTTTCAAAATAATTCCAGATGGGAAGCTAAAATGATAAACATCATTTTCTGAAAATTAGTTAAAAAACTCATTTTCTTCTGCTCCCAAGTTGGTCCCAGGCAAAACTGCATTTTTACTTCCAGAGACACGCTGAAGTTAGGAACCAGGCCATGTGGTGTGGTGGGGGTGGGAAGGGGTAGGTCAGGGTAGGAGGTGGGATCCTGGCACAGGTGTTTCCAATCTGTATGCTCTCACGCACCACCCCAATGGGAGAGGAGCTGTGTGGGAAAGCCCAGCATGAGAATATA